GCCCCGCGGAGCCGGGCCGGGCCTCGTCTCCTTCCCGCCAGAGCGGGTGCCCTGTGGGGCGGGCGCCCTCCGGGGCCGCCCTTCCCGCTCCCAGAGCAGGAGCCGCCCGCCGCGCTCCCGGCGTGCGCCGCGCTCTCCGCCTCCTGCCTGCGGCCGTCTTCGTTACGCGTGTGGCGCCTTGCAGGACCTGCCGCCGTGACGTGCGTCTCGCCCGGCCGTGGCCGTGGCCGTGGCCGTGCCGGGGCTGGTGAAGAGGCGCTCCTCCCGCAGCCCTTTCCCCGGGGCGGCAGGTAAGCGCTGCCCGGCCCCTTGCTCCCGGTGGTGCCCGCTGGGCCCTGCTGCCTGCAGGCAGGGCTTGCCTCGGGCAGCGCCTGCGGCAGCGTGACCGGCCCTGCGTGAGGAGGGGCTGCCGGCGGGTTTGGGGTTTATGAATTGGCTTGAGACCCCGCTCTTCACTGCCGCAGCCCTTCTGGTGCTGCGTTTAAGCCACAGCTTTGCGTCTGCAGAGAAACGCTTTTATTCGGTGTGGGATAAGCACCCTTTTGGCAGAGAGTGCAGCCCCTTTTTGTGAAGCAGTTGATGGCCTCGGTATTGCTTGCATCAGAACGAGTGAAGCTTAAAACATAAGCCTGCTTGGAAAAGGTTTAAGTAAGCTGGGGCCAGGACGGCTGAGTGCCAATATATACTGGCAATTGAGCACACCGGCATAAAAGCAATGGAGAGGAAATTTAACAAAAAGTCAGCGTTGTGTCTTGGGCTGTCCCAGGACTCTGCAGTGAGTCAGTGGAATCCAGGTGCTGAGCTGAATGGGAAGCGGAGCCTCACCTTTGCATGGTCCCGGGCTGCTTTGCTTTGCATTGCTGATGAGTCGTCTTGGTTACTCTTGGAACGCAGAAGTGGGCAGTTACAAAGATACAGCCGAGCCTGAGGGCAGGAATGGGGAATTGCCTTCCAGGTCAGGAAGGCAGGCTGGGTGGTTAGGCTGTGCAGTCGTCTTTGTGAGAGCACACTCAGTTCCTGAGACTTCCCAGGAGTTTCTTGCAGAGATTCATCTGGAGGACTAAGAAAGTGGAGCCAGTGACATTATATGGACTCCACTGATACTATCCTCCTAAATTAAATGGTGGAAGAACAAGGCCTGCCTGTGAGTGAAAGTCAGGACCTACTTCATCTACCTACAAGGTTTTAATAGCAATTAGAGGGAGCAAGTTAAAAGTCAGGTGTTTCTGTAGAAAATGGTGGGTGTGTTTGGTTTGAATCGAACACAATAAGCCATATTTCAGGGCTGTTGTATTGCGTGTTGTTGTATTTGCACTTTTGACATTGTCTCACCTCTGTGTTTTTGCTCACAGGCCCGTGGGTCCCGCTGCTCCTGGCTCCAGGACTGGGTGAGGAGGGACGCTGGACGTGCTGAAGGATTATGGTAACCAGTTTGGAAACCATAACTTGCCTGTTTAACCATAGAATGTTTGCGTAAACCTGTCTTCATAACGGGTGCAGCCTTATGAAAGGGCTTTGTGTGATGCCCTCCAGTGGCAACAATGTGTTCTGCTATTTTAAATCAAGAGGGAACAGAAGGGAATTGGAAAAAGTCATCCTTTTTGCTCACCCTAAAAGGGTTTGAGGGTGATTCCTTCTAAGCCCAAGGGCCTTTGGGCAGCCCTGGCAAAGTCCCCAGTTAGCTGCTGGGTGAGGTGTACCTGGGGGTGTCCCATCCTTTGGTAGTTGCTGCTGCTGCAAGCTCTGCAGGGATACGTAGATCACTGCTGCAAATCAGGGCAGCCTGTGGGGTTCAGATGGCCAATACCAGAGATTTAGGCATGAGCTTCTGTCCTTCACGGAGGGTGAATTTTGCTGTGTGCCAGTAAATGTGCAGAGTGGAAAGGAACAGGAAGAAAAACGCCAAGAGGTACCAGGAAAAATGTATCTTGCAGCACATAACTCACTGTCAGAGACAAGGACGTTTTTAACTTGTCTTTTCGCGTGATCTAGTTCAGCAGTGAGCCTGAGTTCCTGTAGACAGGGCAGAGATGAGAACTGGTTTTGCCTCATCTGAGAGACCTTTCAATGGAAAGAAATAGCTCTCAGATCAACAGCTCAACACAGTTCTCCAAGATCAGTGCTATACTTAGGTTTCCAGATAAACTAAATACGCTTCATGTTAGTCTGCCTTGAGGTACCATGCTGGACTTGTTAATGCCCTTTAGTGTCATTAGGAGACTCCCCTTTTACTGTCAAATACAGCTTCCAGTTCTGTTCCAGGTTTGGCCCTTACAGTCTCACAGGTGTCCTACACTTCCCCCTGTCTGGTGGGCTTATACAGAAAGATGAGGTTGATGTGAACTTCCAGCTTGGGTGCTGTACTGGTCTGATCAGTAGACCCTGTAGTGGAAGTGGTGGCCTCCCTGTAAAGGATGTATATAAAGGTAATTCACAGTGACAGCTCATTTTGAAAAATTGAGGTTGTTCATGCCTTTTCCTTTGCTGTATTAAGTGACAAGGTTGGGATTCCTAAGGGAGGAAGTGCTTGGGTTATTGCTGACAGGTGAAGCTTTTATTAAACAGAAACATGCAAACTCATTTCCCATATTGTTTTTAACCTAGTAGCCAATTATTGTTAATTTGTTGGGGTTTTTTTCCAGATATTTCTGTTGCTGCCTTAGCTGTCCTGTACCATGCCTAGCAATGACAACTGAGTCATATTCTGCTGAGCAGGCTGCTCCATACTTAGCCATCAGACCTGCATTCTCCAGCAGATTCATCAGGCTGACAATGTAGTGATGGAGCTGTTTGGTACCCGTAGAGTCCCACTCCAAGGGTTTCTGAGCACCTTGTGTTTAGCTCAGAAAATCTGTCCTTGCAGCAGCCCTCTGAAGGGGTTGTGAAACCCCGGGGACTCCCAGGGCAGTTCACCAGTTGAAAAATATTTTGGATTGGGTTCTTGTATCATCTGAAGTGAACGGCTAATCCTGGCGCCAGGATACAGGTGTGGTTTAAACACTTGAGGTGAAAGCTGTTGGTGGGGAGCAGTGGGACTGTTTGCAACAGAACATCTGCTTTCATCAGAATCGTCAGGGTCACCAGCAGCCTTTCTGCACTAAAGGCTTTCTTGGGTGGTTCAGACATCCTCATACCTCTGCTCTGATACTCGTGTGTTTTACTCTTTCAGATACCTACTCGAGAGTGTGGCGCTCTATTTTTGGCAGATAAAGGTAAAACATGTTCCAGTGGGTGGTGGCAGTTGGACCCTGTATCAAGGCACACATTTTTAAGCAAAGAATGGTGCTTTCTCGCCGCTTCATTCCCTGGCAGAGTAGCTGTACGGTTTAGCTGCTGTTCTCTGGTATGGCCTTGCCAATGTCGGCTGGGCTCATGTGGCCATCTCCTGCCTGCTGCACTGGCAGTGGTTGCGGGCTGAGTCACCTGTTTCTGGTGGACACGAGTTGTGCTCAGTGCAAGACATAGCAACTGAAAGTCTCTGGCCTGCCTTACAGGAGGTCTGACAAAGTGACCATAATAACCCTTTCTGCCCTGGAAATCTCTGAATTCCTGGTAGGCCAAGAAATGACTCTGTACTTACATAGCTCAGTGTTGCTAAACCTCTCTTGTTTTGAGGCTTGCAAAACAAATAGATACCCCAGAGAAGATGGTACTAATCACTGCTGTAATGACATATTCAACTCCTGTTTTTATGGTTGCTGCAAAGCCTATTTTGGGGAGACTTTTTTTAAGCTCTTTGGGGAAGAACAGACAAGCTTTTGGCATGCAATTCTACGTCAAATCTCTTCAGTTTTGCTAGGCTGTGTTTATTTGTAAGACCCTGTATATTGTAGAGGCCGCTGCCCATTCCTGACTATTGCCTGGAATGGAAACTTGAAACAATGATTTTTTGTAATGAATGTGCAATAAATCTGTGGAAAAGATTCTCTGTTAATGACTCTTGATTGAATTCAGGTAGCTTTGACATACACGAATGAGGCTGTTTAGAGCTAGACCAGCCTGCTTGACAGGCAGTGCCTGATGGTGTAGTGCCTGGAAATGAAGCCTAAACAAGGACATTTCAGTGGAATGCTGGGCCAGAGTACTTCCAGCCCCCACTGGACACCCAGAGCTTCAAGGGCACGGCATCCGGGTGAGAATTCTTCAGTGCTGAGGCGGGAGAACAGATCTGTAGGTGGGGAGGATATACCCAAGTGGAGGTGAGCATGGCCAAAAAGAACGAGCTAAAAATTATGTTTTTGGTTTCTCTGTAGGGGCAATCAAGCACTGCAAAAGGCCTCGGTTGGTTTTTTTGTTTTTTTCCCTGGATGAATGAATGGGAAGCATGGGCATTCTGTAAAAATGTCTTTTAATATTTGAGACTGTAGTGCATGCTTGGGTATTTCAGAAAGCCTCACTGTGTATGGTAACTGCTAACAGTTCACACACAAGGGAGGCGTATTTGATTACCTTGTGTCACAGACTTCATGTAGCAACAAGAATACTTGATTGTGAGATCATCTTCATGGTTGGAGTGTTTTCAGCTCTGTCGAGCAGCTGTACAGTGATTATGCCTTTTGCTATTTTTGTTTTTCTTTGAATTTTTGGCTCTTCAGCAGACAGAAGAGTGGAATTAATGATCGCTCTGGAACAGGGGAGTTCCCTAGGCCTCAAATGGGTACTGGGGGAACCAGTGATTCAGCTGCCACTGCTGCTTGGTGACAGTGTCACCTCTGAGAAGGATGGTATCTATTTCTAAATGGAGAATTCTGGGATGCTGATGGATCTTGTGACCATAACGGTTTTCTCCTAAGATCCTGCCTAAGAGGACAGAAACTGTCATCAGGGCTCAGGCGTGGCGGCTGGTTTGGGTCAGGGTTGCTTTGCTGTCTGTCTTGGGAGAGAGCTGGTTTATAAGGGAGTGTGATGGAGCAGTTAATGCTGAAAGAGGGCATTGCTCAATGCAGGTTATGTGTAGATGTGGGAGCTGCAGAACACGGGTTATGGGAGGGCAGTCCATGGGGGTATTGCAATTCCAGTATGTATCCGTAAGATACCAGGTGTTTCCAAAGCAAAGCAAGGGTGGACGTAATGCTGGAAATGCGAGTTGAATGCATAAAGGTGCTGGGCAATATCTGCATTGAAAAATGACAGTCTGCAGTTCTCATAGTCCAGCAGGATGCCAATCCTTCTTGGGGGGATAGTAATTCTGATGTCTGGTGTCATCCCACTGTGCAGGAATTCGTACTTGTGCCTGTAGGTAAGAAACAGACAAAAAACTTGAGGGTACCCTGGCTGCTCTCAAAGGGAAGCACTTTGTGCACATAGGTGTGTTCCAGGGTATGCTTCCTGCTTCACAGTCCCATCCCTCCTGTGTGCCCTGTGGTTACTGCCCCAGTCCCATCTACTTTGCTGAGCAATGGCTGTGTTTGCCGAGGAGTGGTGTGCTCTGCGCTTCCACAGCCTTATCCTGCAGTGCTCAGACCTGCCTGTGTAGCCTGCGTAACAGGCCTCCTGTTTCATATCCCAGTCTGTCTGCGAATAGTTGGGTGGTAGCCCTTAGATATGGACGAGGCCAGAGCACAACATGGGATTTCTGTTTTTTTCCGTGTCTCAGAGCACAGCGTGGGTTCCCCTGTAAATCAGAGGGTGCACCCTTGCCACTAGGTTTAACCTGAAGTAGTCCCTCCATGAAGGAGCTGTGCTCTGTTAGGCCAGTTAGGCTTGCCCTGGAACAACACTTGTGGTCTCCTCAGCCTTGCTGCTATACAGCTGTAGGCACTGCCGAGGCAATTGGTGTGATGACGGTCCTGTCCTTCCTGGCCCTGCCATGCTGCACAATTGCTCCCCGAGGGTCTGTGGTACTGAGCTATCTTTCCTGCCAACGTTATGGGAACTGCTCACACCCACACTTACAGCAGCAGCAGCGGGAGAGCGTAATCCCTTGGGCAGAGGCTGCCTGACTCACAGTGTGGCTAGGCATCCTCCAGACTATTGGACATCATTTTTCAAACCCCACTCTCTAAATGATGTTTCTGGCTGCTTTTCCTACAAGACTTCCCTGCTCAGCCAGGGCGGTGCTGATGGGGAAGTTCCACTCTTCATGCTCATCTTCTAGAGGGTGACCTCTTTTAATTATGATTCCTGGACTGGATTGTTGGAGGCCAGGAAGGTGCTCTGTACATAAGCAGCTTTGTCATGAGGGTAGCCCTCTTCCCCGTGTAGTCGCTCTTCGAGTAACGTTGAGGTCATTTGACAGTTACTCAAACAGCTCTCCCTAGTGTGGCACGCTGCAACCAAAAATATGAGACTTCTATGGGAACATGTGCCTTTCTGAGCAGAAATGAGAAGATTTATTCAGCTGAAGTGAGTTATCTGGTATTTCGTAAGGGCCAGCTTCTTCACTAACCACCTTCTCCACCCACACCACTCAAGCCTGAGAAAATTTCCCTGCAGAAATGGGCATGGCAGTGAGTCAAACTGAGCAATGGCCCAGCTCCCTTTTCTCTCTGAAGTCCGTACTCATTGCTCCAGAAGAATGAGAACAAACCTTAGTGTACCTCTTAGCTCAGTATAGCAAGGAAGTCAAATTAGCCTGTCTGCAGGGTATGGGAGAGTCATTAGCTTTAGTGGGTTTGGTCTCCCTCATTAAGCAGCATTTCTTGCTCTGTGGGAGGCGAATGCCAGCACTGCTAAGGATTCTGGCTGTGCAGCAGGCCAACTGCTGGGGAGCCAAGAGCAGCAGGCGCCTGGGGAGGAGGGTGTGCTCCAGCCAACTGAGCTGCATGTAAAACCTCCCTGTGTACCAGCAGGCAGAGGACATGCAGGTTTGGGTCCATGCGATGCCATCCTTACCATTTACTGACTGTGCATGCTGAGGGCACTCAGGTGGTGTCCAGGCTCCCTGTTCAAGGGGACCCAGCAGCACCCTGGCAACTCCTGCAGGCTGAGTGGTGAGCCCTTCAGGCAGGCAGTAGGCAATACTCGGGGATGCCTGGGGGTGTGACTTGTTTTCTTGCTCCTGGGTGCTTCACAGGGTGCCCAAGTCTCACATGGGAGTCAAAGGCAATGACGCTAAAATAATAGCATCAGGGGGAGAGCCAGCAGGTTCAGCTGAGGCATACGGGGAGCTGGCATTTCTGCATGCAGATATGGCTTTTAGGTTCTTCCATAGGTAGGAAAGAGATCAAAAACAGTTGCATGCATCTGGGTTTTGCCAGATATGTAGTTTCTAGGTTACATGGATCTATTACTCTCTGTCTTCCCACCTGGGTTTCAGTGACCTAAAACAAGGCCTTTACAGCTAACTTCTGTAATGCAGATTTTATCCAGAATTGTTCTGGAACTGCCTATTTCAACGTGAGAATGTCATTAAGTAGAAGAATTTGCTAAAAGGTTCCGGTATCCTTACAACACCAGCTCACAGTGCCAACGGTGGAACATCAGAGGCCCCTGGTCAAGTGCTTGGTCTGGGCTTTGATATAAAACCTCTGGCTGCCCCCTGCAAGCAGGAGCTCTCTGCTGCTCTGCCTGCAGGTGTACAGGTAGGACGTGTTCCTGTAGGAGACCTGTAGCCTCCACAGCCCTTACCTTGAAGGTGTGATGATATGCCTCATGCACCAGGATGAGTTGTTTGCCCCCAGATAACCATGTCTCGGAGTGTTTTCAAAAGCCACGCCGATTCTGTACTCTGTATCTTCCTCAACTTCCACCTCCCAGTAATGTTTTCCTGGAAATGGGATCAGACTGCCCAGGATCCCAATACACCTGTGGGAGAGAGACAGGAATATGTGCTTTGGCAGGGACTCTCTGCAATGCTACTTACAATCTTTAGGTATGTAATGTACCTGGACATTACATACCAATAAACAAAAGCCACTTTTGCTGTCTCCTTAGCAGTGCATGTAGCATGGATTTTTGACTGCAGCAAAGTCCATGTGCTGAGGACCTGACACAGAACCTGCAGGTTTCTTTGTGACACCTACCCTGTTTTTACCTGTGAGTAGCTTTGTATAAATAAGTGCCCTGGGCACTTTCAGGAATAGGGGAGAACAACATCCTATGCTGCCTGGGTTTTCCGGGAAAGTTATTACTTGCTAGAAAAGAGGGTGCCCTGGTGAACCCCAGTATAGCAGGGGAAAACGGCTACAGATTTTCTGTTTTCTTCCCAAACAGCCCAGGGCTTTAAATGTCACTCACCACTAGGAACTGAGCACTGTAACAGCATGAAACTCCTGGGGCAGATGGGAAGGAGACGACCTAACTATGCTGTGTTTGGAGAGACGAGCAAGAACTGAACACAGTAGAAGAGCTTAGAATATGCTTAGGTACCTGGGCCATGAAAAGTTTTAACAGTAGACTGTCATTCCTAGCCTTTATGATAGGAACCATGTAGAAGATAACTCTTCAAAAAGATGTGTAGGAGAGACGAAGACAATATACCACAGAGAGAGCCTTCAGCTTGACTTACAGGCAGAGTCTCAGAGTTAGAGGAGCTGGGTGCTTTGAAGATGCAAGTCTGCAAAAAAACAGGTTCTGAAGCAAGAAAGTTGGGCAAAATAACCCATGCCAATGCTTCTGAAACACCCTAACTTGGTTTAAGATGGCAACATGAATCTTGTAAGACTACACCCCAGCTTTTCCTCAGGAAAAGTACATGGTATATTAGCTGTCTTTGCTGCATCACAGGGGTAGCAGGTTTCAAAACACACCTTCAGTTTGGATGGGGAGTCACACATAACTGGTATGTTTCTGTGGTAGGGTCATCTAAAGTTGTA